TGGCTGGGGAATTCTGGGAGTTGAGGTCCACACATCTTCAAGCAGCCAAGGTTGAGAAACACTGGTGTGTGTGCACGCAAGTGCGCGCCCACACACACATACACGTTTGCAAGCTGCACAAACCAAGGTGGTTGGGTGAATTGAGAAGACAGCCGGCTTACTCTGCTTGTTCCCCCCTTGCTCCACCAGCATGTTTTGATTCTAGTTCTGAAGCTTCCATACCCTCCACCCCGTTAGGCATTAAAACAAATGGAGCTGTCTGGAAAATGGAAAATGACGTTCTGAGCCGTTGGGTTCGGCGCTAATGTGCTATTAGGTGGTTATCCAATAAGTGCATTCATGTAGCTTAACTGGAGCCAGCTGTCCAGAGGAACGGAGGAAACTCTTGAATGTCAATGCGAGGGTTTACCCACCTCCCCACCTCTTGTCTGAAAATGAAAAGGCCCATTCTGGGATTTAAAATATTTGCCACTTCCTGGCGGGCTAATTTCGTTAACAAAGATTTGGACAGGGCATGTTTTAGCCTCTGTATCAAAAACCTTTCTGACCTGGAAACCGGCACGGGTCTGTGGCCGTGGGGGGAAGCGGGGTGGGGGGGCTACTCTCACGGACAGGTTGGTGCCTTAGGGGTTATTCAAATGAATGATCAGTTTTCAATAATAAAGGACCTTTTTCTTGGACTTTTCAACCTGTGGCTGTACGAAATAAAAACATCCCGTCAACGTTTTATCTCATGGCTCGCTAACCATCAAGTCAGCACCGTGCAGCAGAAAAGGAGGAATACGCTTTATCCTGGGGTGCCCCTTCCCCAAGGATCTGTTTCAGGACTGACGATTTCAAACGGTTTGCTCGGTGGGAAACCTCAAACAAGGCTTGTCGAGAGTTCAAAGGGATCCCTCCACACGGAGGGAGTTCTCCACCGGCGGTGGCAGTTTCCTGCAAGCCAACGCAAAGCAGTTGCACGGCAGTAGGGCCTGCAAAGCCAGGAAAGATGGCGCTACATGCGAACGAGGGGCGAGCTGCCAGAGAGAGAGCTTCGCGGAGGAGAACTCGCCCCTGGATTGATTAGGGATGGAAAGGACAATAAAATGGCCACCTTTGGGGACACATTGGGAATATTGGATACTGTGGGGCAGGAAAAAAGATCGACCCGATGTGTCAGGGGCTGGGAGGTGATCCCCACTGCTTTTTTGCTCGGAACAAAGATGGCCAAGGAAAACCGCTGTAGAAGGGCAGCCTGTCTCGGATCACACACGGTGCGGGAAATGCGATCCCAGACCCATGACAGGTTTTTCTCCTTCATATAATGCATTGTTAAACTAGGGGATGTACTGGCCGCAGAATGAGCTGATGGCCAGCAACGGAAGGGGTTGTCAAGGGGGAACAGGTTTTATTTATTTATATTTATTATTTTTTATTTATATGTTGGATTTCTCCCCCGCCCATCTCTCCCACAATGGGGGATTCTGGGCGACTTACAAAAAACATTAAAACTATAAATATATATAAAATACATAATACATCTA